TATCTATAAAAAGATTCCAAAAAAAAAACAAGCACTTAGACTTTTAAAGGCATTTTTGGGTCCTCAGGCAGCACTGCATTAACAGACATGAGTAATGGAAATCACTCAGGAACGCTTGTGAAAACCATTGTCTGTGAACAATCACTGCATCCACAAATGCTAGTTAAAACTCTTAAATGCAAAGAAGAAAACATATATATACAGGATCCAGGAACGCTGCCACCTTCTCTGGGCCCAAGCTCATTTAAAATGGACTGAGGGGAAGTGGAAAAATGTTCTTTGGTCTGACAAAACATTTGGACTTCTTTGTGGAAATCATTGACACTGTGTCCTCCAGGCTAAAGACCACTCAGCTTGTTATCAGTGCACAGTTCAAATGCCAGTATTCATGATGGTATAGGGGGCATTAGTGCACATGGCATGGGTGATGTGCACATCTGTGATGGCATCATTGATGCTGAGCGATATATACATGTTTTGGCAACATATGCTGCCATCCAGATGAAATCTTTTTCAGGGAAGGCCTTGATTATTTCAGCAAGACAACGCCAAACCACCTTCTGCATATATTACAACAACATGGCTCTGTATTTAAAAAGTCCAGGTGCTAAACTGGCCTGCTTGCAGTCCAGATCTGTCACCACTGGAAACATTTAGCACATTATAAAATGAAAAAAATATGACAAATGAGACCCTGAACTGTTGAGCAGCTGAAATCCTGTATCAAACAAGAATGGGAAAACATTTCCCTGTCAAAACTACAGCAGTCGGTCTCCTCAGTTCCCAAACGCTCACAGAGTGCTGTTAAAAGAAGAAGTGATGAAACCCTAGTGGTAAACATGCCCCCATCCCAACTTTTTTGGAATGCGTTGTTCGCATAAAATTCAAAATGGGCACATATTTTTCAAAAAACAATAAAAATTCTCAGTTTCAACATTTGATATGTTGTCTTTTCAATGACTTATAGGGTTTAAATGATTTGCACTTTTGTTTTATTTACATTTTGCACAGCATCTCAACTATTTTGGAAATGGATTTGTAATTTCATCTCCTCATCTTTCACTTCTTGACAGCTAGACATCCTTTCAGACCCACAGTGCTGAGTCATCTTCTGGCAGTGGAAGGATGGACAGAAATAAAGAGATTTGATGTCCACAGCTTTGTTCTTACAGCATCAAAATTGTCAGTAAATTGTGGCCACACATTATTTTAATTAAGAGAGGATGTCACCAGTGGGAATGCATAGAAAGAGCTGCTTAGTTAATGATAAAAATATTGGTAAAACTTTATATGAAGGCTACCTACAGAAGGACTATATAACACATGTATAAGCACTGAATAACATATTTAGGAAGCAATATTTGAGTACATATGACCAGTTTTTTCAAGCAACCGCAAGATGCCATGAGATGTTCTATGCAGTAAATGACATTGCATTGACATACATGGCATTAAACTAAAGTGATGGGCATTTGTTCCATTTATAACAATATTATGAAGCATCATTTTCAAGTAGTAATGGAACTCTAGGAAGGTCTAATTTAAAACATCATGTACCAGTTCCACATAGTCCTACTTCAGTAGAACTCTTAGTCTGGCTTATGGCATCTTGTGGTTACTGACATAAGCTTTTCATAAATATTCAAATTACTGCTTTATAAATATGTCATTCATGGCTTATGCATGTGTAATGATATTCTTATGTAGGTAGATTTCAAATAAAGTAGTACCAAAATATTGACACAAAAGTAATGTATACAATACAAATGTAGAAATGTTAAAATATCACTAAGTTTTCATCTTTGTCTTTCCATTTTTATCTTTTTTTTAATAATGTGATTTGCCATTTACATTGTTTCAAAATTTTATGATAAATGGGTCAATAGAAATAATCAAAATCCTTCTGAGTAAAATTAAGAAGAAATGTTATCATTTTGGAAATATGAGATGAAAGATGAGGGATGATGTTTACATGTTAACCAGCAAATGATTCTGATTGTTTGTGTTTTGTGATAAGCATACTGAGGACAAACATTAGTTCATAACAGAAACAGAAACTCTTTTGACTCTTTTGTTCTACAAGATGATCTGATCCACATCACAGCCACAATATTTGCCTCTCAAAGCAGGAGGAGCTTCTTGTGAACTAAAACCGAAGCGCTGGTGATGCTTTTTTCTTCTTTACTAATTTTACTAAATTATTCAGGTCACTCCTGTTTCATTTAATCCTTCTCAGTGATATTTGTAAAAAAAATCCTGAAAGAGTTTTTGCATTAAAGGATTTACAGCATCTGATAGAGTTTTTAATGGTAATTTAAGCTTAACCAGTATATATTTAAGCCTTAAACCTCCTGGCTTCTTATTCAGTTATGAACCTTAAAGGCATATTTTTTATATCATTTCCATACAAATGAAATTTGCTTCCTGAATTTAAGTTATTTAAATTAAATTTAGTACACACACATAGTAATTATCTTGGTATAAAATTTCATTTATGTTAAGCCAGTGTACACTCCCAAAATTTTGTGGTTTTTACTGATGGGTTTGGCAGATCATAGTCCAGATTTAAGCCCTATTACGAATATTTGGTTATGTTTTTCAGCTGTTTGAAGCCGTCAGTGCAGAGTGGAAAAATACTGACTCTTCTTTCTGTAAAAGTATGTCGGCAAGTTTACACACAAGACTCCAACATTTATAGACATCAAAGGTAAAAACTCTCCCACACCCACATGTTGTTTTTGTTACTCAGTGGTCTGTTGGACCCACCACATTATTGTTTGTTTTTTTTCAGTAATCAATATAGCCGTAACAATTTATATAACAATACCAGATGTTTAAAATATTACAAGTGGTCAGCGTAGGGTTCCCCTTTAGCAGCTGTAGCCAGTCAGCAGCCTGTCCATGTTGTCCACCCTCACACACACACACACACATATACAAATACATACACACACAGACCCCCCCACACACACAGACACACACACACACACACACACACCTTAACAGCAGGCCATATAGAAGGAGAACAGAGTGAAGGGACACAGTACCTCCACACTTTCATTCCTTGCAGATTCCCCTCCAACACCACGTGTAATATAAATGTGTGTGTGTGTGTGTGTGGTGAACAGTGTGAAATCATTGGAAATGTGTTATTTTATATGTTCTTCACAGAAAATGAGCAAAGACCAAGGAATCTGAGGTTGAAATAATAATAAATTGCATCATTCTTTCTTTTAGTAAAGACTGAAAATGGGTCCCACCAACCTGAACACCACACAATGGTTAAACCTGACTGGAATATAACCCTTAAACCTCCTGGCTTATTATTCAATTTTGAGACTTTAAGGCATATTTTTCAGAAACTACTAAGATTTCTTCGGCAACTACATTGAAAAGTTGAGTTTACATCAGTTCCACACAAATGAAACATGCTACGTCAGCTTAGATTAAGTAAGTTATATCACACTTAGTCATTATTTTGATATAACGTATTTCATTCATGCTAAACCAACGTACACTCGAAAACAAATGTACACAAAAAAGTAAATAAATAAAAGGCAGACCCCAAAATCCACAAATAAACCCTATAAAGAGTATCTGGCAATGTTTTTCAGCTGTTTGAAGCCATCAGTGCTGAATGGAAAAATACAGACTCTTCTTTCTGTAAAAGTCTTTCCTGTAAAGACCATTAAAAGCCATTTTGGGCTTGGTGTTTTTGGAACCAACCACAGGTATTTGGAATTGAACACAATTTGTAAATGCAACAATTTTCCATATGAAGAGGAGTTTTGGACCAGATCCCAACATTCCAGAAAGAAAAAAAAAGACTATGTAAATATAGTCAGCACATAGAGCTGGGGGAGTTTGAGATGAATTTGATCTGCTTTGACTGCCTTCGTTGTAACATTTCCTGTTTCCTGGGCTAATGATAGATGATAGTCATGCAAATTAAAGGCATGTGCAAATGACACTGACACAAATACTTTTCATGCTTCTATTTTGTTTAAACAGCTGTAATGCACTGCCAGTTACAGGCCTGCTCTAATGCAGCCTGTATGAAGGTGTAATGCTCATAAATTATGCTTCTAATACAATAGTTTTTGAAAAGTGATGGTGGCTAGGTTGGTAAAGGGTTGACAATAGAGTAAGAAATTCACTCTAAAGTTTAAAGGTTACAGAACAGAAAAGTGTACTGAAAATATTTAAGTCTAACTATTAATAATTAAGATTTCTACATTAACATTCATTGCATTGTTGGTGTTTGTATTGTTGTATGTTGTTTTGTGTCTAATTTATTTAACTTTATTCAGGAATTAAAGCAGAATACATGCACTAAGAAGTGTAAAAGTCACAAGCACATTATTTAAAATCTTGGAAATTCATGTGATTTTGCTTATATCATTAAAGTAAGTGAAAAGTGGTAATATTTAATTTGGACAGTCCCTAAAACTCAAATGGTTTAAGGAAACCGATTGTCTTGAACCATTTAAGTTTAGATTATTAGAATCATTTGAGCATGAGTAATCCCCTAAACTGAGTATGAACAACACATTTGTTTATTGTTGTATACACTTTGAAATTGAGTAATTTACTCCTTTTATCTTAAAATGATTGAGTATTATGGACGTATATAATAATGGTACTACCTCAATACAATTAAGTCATTCTAACTTATATTTACTGTCTTTACACAGCTCTAGCCACTGAAGTTCAGCTAACTCAGTTTTTTTTTCAAGCTAAACTGGGCTAAAATGTTATGCATTTATACTGAATGGCAGAACATTTTTGACAAGAATGCCTTAAACAGTTTAACTTAATACTGCTCTGGACCATCTTGCCTAATACTGATAATTCAGACCAGAATGCAGAAACAGTCTGGAGTGTTCAGAACCACACTCAGCAGGTGGGGTCATAGCAGCTCAGCTTACTCAGCACTGATCTACAGTCAGTACTGACTGAGATTAGATGAGCTCGCAAGGGAAGGTAGGCTGGGGAGAATGACAGCACAGAGATGGTAGGTTAAAGAAGGTGGAAAGACACAGCCTATATGCATGCTACCAAGAGCCAATAGGAATGATGCAAGTTTTACTCAAGAATGCATTGACCAAGCTTTCATCAAGTAAACAATACATTTTTAATTTGGTTTGAATTGATCAGATTAAGTTACTCCATGTAGTATATCAGTTGTGTTAACTTTTCAGTCTGTAGGACAAATTAAATGATCTGAACTAACTTTACCTAAGTAACTAAGGATTATACAAGAAATAGTATGTGTTACTAAATTTGCATTAATTAGTATAACAGATGAGTAAAGTAAACCCAAAAAAGTTAAGTTAGTGCAATTGTTACATTTTACACTGTAAATATCTATTGAATTCACCCTTAGTTTTCCTAACACTAACCCTGCCCCATCCTCAAAACCAAACCTTACTCTGGTCCTAAACTGTACCCTAGTACTAATACTAACCCTGACCTAAACATTGTTGAAAATCAACTGGATTTTAACATAATAATGTGAACTATAATGTGATCTATAGATAAGATACACAATAAAAAGTAGTTACATATCTTGTGAGCTAGTTTGAAAAAACATTTTTGGCTCCAAATCTCTCCTCCTCAATGTCCCCAGTCATCACAAATACTGGGGATAAGTTCAGTTGATAAGTTCACATTGATATGGCAACGTTTTTCTATATGTGTTATGTTATGTGGAGGCTTTAATTTTATGGTGGAGTCAAGTTGTTGGTTTATATTATGTGACTATGAGTCAGAAACAAACCCTGGTAGAGCACTGATATGTCAGTAACACTTCGGTTGAAGGGTGACTACATAACATAGTTATAACATCTTACATAGATGCCTTATAACATTTTCATGAATGTTTAAATCAACATTCATAAAGCATATGTGTTTTACATGATATTAATATGGAATGCGATGTCATTTTACTGAGAGACATTTTTCAAAAAAAAAAAGCTCAGATTTTTTATTGAAAAACTATAGTATTTTCAGTAAAATGCCTCATTTCTGGACAGCCAAAATGACCTCACTTTACCCCTTTGGTCATTAAGTGCTTTAACAATTTGGCACAGCACCACACTAAGATTCAGTAAAATGATTGTTCCTAAGCATATTTAGAAGTGATTTACTGTCTGTATAGTAAAGTGACATACAAAGCAACAAATGCTTAAGAAAAAACAAACAATTAAAAAGTACTTAAAAGTATAGCTTTATATACATGCCTGAGTGTCAAAGCATTTAATGACCAATGGTATTATTCTGGATGTCCAGAAAAGAGATGTTTTACTGAAAAAAATTTACTTCTTCAAAATAAAAGATAAGGATTTTTATTTTGAAAAATGTATCTCAATAAAATGACAGAGTAGTGCACACACACACACACACATCATCATCTAAACCACTTATCCCTCAGGGTCGCGGTGGAGTGCTGGAGCCTATCCCAGCTGTCATTGGGCGGAAGGCAGGATACACCCCAGACAGGTCGCCAGTCCATCACAGGGCAGATAGATAGACAGACAGACATACATACACATTCACACCTAGGGGCAATTTAGCATGTCCAATTGGCCTGACTACATGTTTTTGGACTGTGGGAGGAAACCAGAGTAGCCGGAGGAAACCCACGCAGACACGGGGAGAACATGCAAACTCCACACAGAAAGGACCCTGGTCACCCGGCCGGGAATCAAACCCAGGCCCTCCTTACTGTGAGGTGACAGCGCTACCCACTGCGCCACCGTGCCGCCCCATAGTAGTCCATATTAATATAATTTGAAATGTGTTTACTTTATAAAGGTTGACTTAAACCTTCATCAACATGTTATAAAGTGTTTATATAAGATGTTATGAATGTATTATGTAGACACCCTTCAAGCAAAGTATTACCTATATATCTTGGCTCTCTTCTTCCTCCTGTATTCTTTATATACTTTAGTGACTTAAATAATAGGATATATTGTGTTAGGACCTTGTTGATTTTATTTATTTATTTATTTATTTATTTGTCATGTTAATTTTATACAGACATTTAAGCATGATTACTCTATTTATTTATGTTTAATTGGAGTTGTATACTCTCTGAATGATACTATGGGAGGGGAGGTGTTTATCAGTCTGAATGTGTCTCTGTAGCGAACTGTTAATGGTGTATTAACAAACTCAGAAATAATCTCTGTTCAAAAAATAGATTAATAGAAACCATCCAAAATAACTTTCTCCGTTAAGTTACCTTTTAGGAGATATGGGGTATATATTTGTATGCATATACAATATACATATCGATAGTAGGTGACAGTGGAGCAAGAAGTCTCATTACAAGGTATTCTTTTGTTTGCTTGTTTGTTTTGCATGATGATGCTGTTGACAGGTGCTGGTTGATACAGGTTCTGCAGGTTAATTACAGGGCTTCTTCATTTAGAACTCTCTGTTAGTCAGTCTAGAACTGATAGGACAAACAGTCACACTACAGAGCCAGCAAGAGGAAGGACTGCTATTTGTATTTTCAGGTAAACATTTTACATTCCTTTCAGTTTTTCTCTTTTTCTTTGAAAAGAAAAAAATAATAAATAATATTTAATGATAGTTAATGGAGAAATAATTCATAGCAAATAAGTTTTTGGGGATTTCAATTGATCCATTCATTATGAAATTTTGATACAATGTAAAGAGCAGCTGGTGATTTTCAATTAGGTTAAAAAAAGGGATGAACAAAAATGAGTGTTTTTTTCTGAAAGTGATGATATGCATAAGTTTAAACACTTTCAGGTCAAATGACGTTATTTATTTTCTAAATGTAACTAAGTTAACACATTCTCTACAGAGACACACTCAAATATGCCATCTTTCTGCAAGTTTTAGTCCACAAATTCTATGTATTTGCTGAGTTTTACATGTTGGAAAAAAATGAAATGTAACATATTATATATGAAATGTGCCATAACTTTTGCACAGGCCACATTTTGTGTTTTATTTTTTTCCCAATATGATCAATTCAGCGAAAGTGCAGAAGAGTTTTCTCTGTAGAGGTCATGTTAACTTATTTACACTAGAAACAAAACATGGAACTTCAACCAGGGTGCACAAATTTTTGAATATGGTTGTATATACAATGATCATTTATTTTTTTATAGTTTATAATTCAGAAGTGCATTATTTTATAGTAGCACAATAACACTGAAACATGTGAAATCATATTTTAATATGCTTTGCTATTTTTTTAGTACATTTTTTGATGCTTCTTCAACATTTCAAGTATTCTGTAAACAACAAAAATCAAATGATAAATTGTATATTAGTATTATATTTGCATAGTAATTTACCATAATTATGAAGTTTTGTGCCATAAAAAAGAATTTAAAATACTCTCACTCATCCTTCTGGACAGGAGGAAATGTTTCCAAGCCTGGAATTCACAGTTAAACTTTTCTATGCAAATGTAATGAAATTAAATGCAAATCCCTTTTACAGAATGTCAGCCGGGACAGTTCCAGTCATCACCCATGTGATCACACAAACCATTCCAACCACTCAGGTGATGCAAAATGTGACTGGACAAGTACTCTCCACTGCCACACCAGTACAAGTCAGCAGTGTTGGAAACAGCTCCCCTCCTGGCTTTCTTGTGAAGTTTCTGAAAGGAGAGCCAAAAGCACTGGGGGTAAAATCACATTTGTGTGTTTCATTTTCCATTTATTGGAAAATTGGATTTCCATTCACAGAGCAGGCGATCATATTTACAAAGACTTAATGCTGGAACGAAGTAGGTGGAGAACATGCAAGACTTTATGGCCTAAAAGAGTGTAAACATTTAACCCACATAGTGTTTTCGACTTGTAATTCAGGTAAAACTTTATTTGGATGGTCCACTTTAGATGATTTGAAGATACTTAATTTACTTTTCAGTTAAATTCAGCTAAATATCTACTAAATTGACCATTATTTTCTTGAACTCTAAGCCTGGCTCCAACCCCAACCCTAACGTTAACCTCAACTCAAAACCTAAACCCAACCCTCACCCTGGTCCAAATCCTAACCCTAACCTCACCACTGTTTAGAATCAACAGATAGTTTGTTAACTCTTTGAACGTCTGTAGATGACTTATAGGAGACTATCCAAATAAAGTGAGATCGTAATTCACATTTGTATCATTACAGTGAAAATACTCAAATTCATGACGCTTGTTAACTATATTGGGTGAAGTATGAAACTTTGTATTATTGTTCAAATCTTGCCAAAACACTTACACCGACAATTTATTTGCCTCCTCCCCCACAGACTGTCCAAATAATGATTGGTGTGTTCACAATTTTGTCTGCCTTCGTTGTGATTAGAACAGCTTTTGTCGACAGTGGCATTGCTTTCTGGGGAGCTTTGATTGTAAGCTTTTTTCCATTTATCGAATTAACATACAACATAAAATCTTACATGCACAAATCACCATTTAAAACTGCTACATCTTCCTTTTCTCAGTACATCAGCACTGGCTCTCTGACTGTTGCAGCAGAGAAAAAGCTAAACCCCTGTACGGTATGTAAATCATCAACAGTTCTTACAGTCTTAACACATTTATCAGAGAATGACTTCTAATCTTTCCATGCAGTGTAGCCTGAAAATATTGAACATCCTGTAAAAAAACTGCCAAAAGAAAATAAAAGTAAACAACTTCTGCCATGTCTCAAATTTCAGATTAAAATTTATCATCTATATTTTATTTTAAGAAACAAAGCCAACATATTATCACTATCCACTTATTTGCAGACTACGCTGTAGACGTATCGATACACTGCATTGTTTCAGAATGTTTATTAGCTTGTTAGTTTGTTTATTTGTTTGTATAAAACATGTTGTCAGGGTCAAGGCATTTGACATTAGTCTGTTAGTACATTTGACTGCTTATCTCCACTGCCCAAAATGTCCTTAAACATGGAACGGCAACTGTGGAAGTCTAAAAGAAATCTCAGAAAGAAATGAGCATATTCTGGCCAGAGTGGCAAAGCAAAACCCCCATATGACACCAAAGAGCCTGCAAGAAGTTTCAGCTGACATATGGCTGGAGCATTCTACTGTGCATCATTGCTTGCACAAACACGATCTACATAAAAGAGCTATCAGATGGAAACCTCACCTGCAAACTCATCACAAATGTCAATGTCTACAGTATGCAAAATAAAATCTAGATAGGCCAGAGATATTGAAACAACTGTGGACATCTAAATTGACCTCCAACTTAAGGGGGAAATATGAAAAGCATTTGATGAAAAGACACCTTGCCAACTGTTAAGCTTAGGGTGCATGCAAGAAAGCCCAAGAGTATTTTAGAACTGCAAGTGTTCTGCATGGAAGCATTTGCAAGCTTTCATATCTGCCAAGTTACTAAGTAGAGACTAAAGTGTCGACACGCTGGACATCCCAAAATTACTGTTCTACTATTTTTTGAATTAATCAAATAATTCAACAAAATTTTGTCTGTGTGGCCAAACTTTTGTATATACCGTTGGTAAAACAAACAGTTGAAGTTTGTTCCCTGTAGAGGATGAGCTAACTTTCACTTCATTAATACAAAAAAATATTTATGTTTCCATTCCATTTATTATAAAATGTTCATACAATGTAAAGTAAATTACTTGTTGATGTGTAAATTGATGGTGGGTGTTTGTCGTTTGTTTTTCTCTGTTCTCTCTCTGGTAGGTGAAAGGTTCTCTGGGCATGAATGTGATCAGCGCTATAACTGCAGGAATAGCCGTCTTTATTCTGAGTGCAGATTTAATAACAGGGCATATTTGCTATCACTATTCCAATTCCTATTCCTATTCCTCTGTCTATTGTGTAAGTATGTGTCATGACATTGACTTATAATGCTTTATTATTTACTATTTATTGTTTCTTCAAAATGATTTACTTCCTTCTAATTAAGCAGGACATTGGGTCTACAGTGCTTGAGCTGACTGCTCTTTATGACCAATTTTTACTTGACAAAAAACTTGGACAAAAAACAGCTATTTGCTGTTTAACCTACTCTTGTTCATTACCAAATTTGTAAAGAACGTGATTTAACCAAAGTTGTTCTTTCTCATGGTCTTAAGGAATTTTTATTTTTGAGTCTTGGTTCCTCTCTGTGGTTCTTCCTTATGCTTTTGGGGAGTTTCTCCTTTAGCGTCTTGGTTGCTCTCAGTAGTTCTTCCTCATGCTCTTAAAGAGTTTCCTTTGGTTCCTCTCAGTGGTTCTTCCTCATGCTCTTAGGCAGTGTCTCCTTAGGGAGTCCTTGTGTCTCTGATCAATCTGAAAAAGGGACAAAGTCTACTGCAGAAATAAATGAGTTAATAAATTGAATAGAATGGAATGAATGAATTTAATTAAACCGAACTGAAAATGAGGTGGGTTATTTTTTCAGGTATCATCCTATGTGCTTCTCACAATTCTCCTGATTTTCACTCTGCTGGAATTCTGCATCTCCATCTCCATCTCAGCTTTTGGATGCAAAGCCACCTGCAGCAGTCAGCCTATGGTAAGATTTACACTGCCTTTAAATATTAATATATGGAGTACTGGTAAACACAACATCATCATTGATGATGATCATTTGTCTGTAACCTGTTTTTTATTCTTTTCCAGGTTATGTTTGTGGTCAGTAACCCCAACGTGACTGACCGTCCTTTAGAAAATCCCCCACAATATCAACAAATGTAACCTCCTGTTTACTGACTATATTCCAATTATTTACTGGCATAAATAAGTAAATTAAAGCAAATTAAAGTAGTATGAAGTAAAGTCATCATTGTGATGTATGAAAAACATCTTTTATTTCTGTGGATCTCTCAAATAATATCATCTTGTAATATTGCATATCACACATGATATTTACTTGTTGTAAAACCACCCTGTACATTTTTAAAACTGGGGTCAGTTTGCTCTGTTTATATTGTCTTCAAGACAGCATTGTGAATTCATTAAAGTCATTCTAATTTTCACGTTTCTTCTCTCAAAATCTCAGCGACAGCACTTAAGAGCAGCTCTTTCATGCATGCTACCCCTGCATTCCATGAGCAATGTGGCAGTGTGACTGCTTCCTCTTGTGAAAAAAGCATGCTTAAGTACATCAAGAGTATACTTAAAGTATAAAGAGAATACTAAAAATATTTTTTTAAAATGTCATGTATTTAATTCAAAGGCACGTAACCCATTTTTGGGTTACTTTTAACACAAAATGTGGCACTTAAATAAAAGTATATTAGCATATATATTGTCGATTGTAAAGTGTATAATTGCCATCACCTTAAGTTGTATTATTTATAAGTTTATTTTAAATAATGTTTCAGTAAATTTCCATAGCATTTTTGTTGCAATATAACACAACTTGCAATCAAACATATATGTCTGTATATCCAAGAGTGCACATTGAAAATATATATGTAATAGAATTTGTATCTTAACAAATTGCTTAAGATAACTTCTTTGCAACATAAGTTGCTCCAATTTGGAACAAAAAAGGACTTGCAGACATAGAAGATGTATTTCTACAGTGATTAAATATGATATTAAAAGAGTCAATTGGAGTTGAGTACTCCTAAAATATATTTAATTCATATTTAATATATGTAATATCTATATTTAATTATGTTAATAAAAGTACATATTTACTGACCTTCTGATTTAAAAGAGGGTAACACTCTCTTTTACAGTCTCTTAAGTATGTATTAAACAGTTAAGTGGGTACATACTAAATGCATTAAAACATATTTAATCCTAGCTCAATTCAAATTCAAATACATCACGCCTTCCACAGAGAATGCCTTCCCTGCATGTTCTCTCTCTCCTGCAGGCTAATTTTAGTATAAAGACTGTGCTGAGAACTCCATTTCCCAAGATACAGTGGGGAATCACCTGAAAACCACTTCATCCAATAGAACCTTTTTCCAGCACTCCACATCACCACAGTTTGAGCTCACACATCTGTTCACCATGTCCATGTCATTTGTTAGATAGTATATAAGCCCAGGCTGAGGTTGTAATTAATGAACTGGCTGGTCGGTGTGTAAGACAAAGTAAGATATCTCATGACTGTTTAGAGTTACAGGTGATGTACATGTGTATGAACATACCCACAGGTACCCTCTTACCTGGGTGATACCTACTTAAAGAACTGACAGAGACAGTGTTACCTTTCTTTAAATGTCAGAAATTCGTCAGATTTGTACAAACCACATTTCTGGAAAACGTAGGACATTTTGTAAAAGGCAACAGACAAGAATCTGTGATTTGTTTATTCTCTTGAACCTTGATTTAACTGACAAAGAAATTACTTTTATGTTTGACCTGTCCAACTTGATTGTGTTTTGTAAATGTCAACACGTTTTGAATTTGAATGCCTGCACTTTACCATCCAGAGAAATCTCAGCCAGTGAGGGCAAGACCAGAAACCACTGTTGAATGTGCGTGACCTTTGAACCCTCAGACGGTATTGCATGAGAATCCGTCATGCTAGTGTTTTAAATATAGTGACATGTTCTCAGAAATACTTCAGAAAACGGTTGTCAATTAAAGAAGAACACCAACAGCCTTTTAGCCCCGCCTCCTTTCTCTGTGCTCCTTTGGAGTCCCTGGAGTAATGGCTGCTGGTCGCTGTGATGTAATTATGGGTGGGTCATTTTCATGGAAAGATGCTTCCCAAACAGTGTAACATTAGCTAGGGTTACTAGCGTTTTCCTGTACATTAAACAGAGCTAAAATGCTATGATGTGTGGTGTAGCCCTGTTTCCTGCTGCTACAGCTGCTCACATCAAGCAGGCTCTGTGTCTTTGTACAAAATATCAGCGATTTCTGTAATATTTCTATTTTAACCCTCTGCGGTCCATGAACTCGCCTGTGCATAAAATTTGATGTTTCCATATATGTTTCTGTATCTTTGTGATAATACAGTGCAGAAATACGGTGCAAACATTTCCTGAATCTGTAGAGTCGCACTTTCCATGGCATCTTATCATGAGATCATAGGTGACTCACATCCAGAGTTATGAGGCTGTGAAGTGGGGCTGAGATACACGTCATCTGCCTCTCACCATGTGGAACTGGTGGATTCGTGTGTCCGTCAACATTCTGTGTGAAACTGACCAATGGACACTCAGAAAATCACTAAGGACTGACCCATCACACCGGAAAGCCTTCACTCTTCATTCAGTCCACATCGGAGACACATATGAAATGGCATGCAGAGAGTTTACAGCTGCTGCAGCGGTTTTGGAAAGTAGTGATGAAGATAACAGAGCATTTTGATAGGAAACATATGAGGATCATATTATAAGAAGATAAGCACAGATTGAGAGAACGACCTCAGACCCCAGAAGGTTAAAGAGAAAGTGGACCTAACATATGTGGTATGAATTTGACAGACATTGTTTATATTTAACTAGCTATGCTAGGTAGCAGCCAGTGCTAACAACAGCTTTTATGCCAAACATTTGGCTAAAGCAGCTTTCTGCACCACATTTACCAGCAGATTTTGTATTCATGTCTTTAAAAAGCTAATATTACAGGCAATAAACCATCAAAAAATTGTAATTTCTCCTACATCAACTTGGTATGAATAGCTAACGTCAGCTACCAGGTTACATCAGAGACACTGACATGGCTCTTCCACATCATAAACAACTATGTCAGATGAGGGAAAACAAAATGTCAGAGCATCACCACAATACTACGATTTAAGCAGGAGTGAGCAATGGAAGGTGGAGTTATTCAAAGTACTGCTTAAAAATTGTAATGAAACTATACTAACAGAGAGTTTTGAATGCAGAAGTCTTGTAACTAACCTGCAGAACCTGTATCAATCAGCACCTGTCAACAGCATCGCCTTGCAAAACAAACAAGCAAGCACACAAAAGAATACCTTGAAATGGGACCTTTTGCCCCACTATTACTTACCACCTTGCCCCATTATATGGCTTTTGGACCAATAACAGCCTCCACTCTCCTAGGAAGATTTTACAAAGGCTGTAAAGTGAGAATGGACTCGATGAGCACTTTGTTAAACTGGATCATCAGAGACTGTGGCAGTTTGAAGTTCTTCATCTTCCTCAGGAAGCACATTCTTATGTCATGAGAACCAAATCAGTTAAAGATTATTTAGCATAAAGCAGTTTAGCTCCATCCATTGCAAATCAGAACAGAGCTTGTTTACATATGCATTGTGTAATTTTATACAACCGTTAGTTCCAGCCTGGCAAAGTGATTCGTTGATAAGCGTTCTAACCTATGTCGAAATAACAGCATGGTTTTTTTCACAAACACTGTATGACTCTACTGAGACGCTGTCGCTAAGCAATGACTTGACAACTGTAGGAGAAGCTCAAACCATTCAGCACAAACAGAAAATGGATACTTTTAAGATTACATTTGACAGACAGCCGATTTGGTCAGACTCTGAAGATGAGACTACACTAAATTCTAAAACTGTCATTACCACTGAGCAGCTTTTCAGTCAGCAGCTGTGACAGAAGAACAGCTAAACAACCTGGAATTAGCATGAAATGAACCCAATACCATTTGCTAAACAAAATGGGTTGTGAGATGCTTTACAGACTGGCTGGAACAAAACAATATTTATATTAATCTAGCAAAAAATGACAAATCTGAGCTAAACTTGATATTGCGGCAGTTTTTTGGCTCAGTCCGTCATAAGTTGACATTTGTCAAATATGAGAGAAATGTAAGATATGGACTTTTTATAAGGCAAACATGAAAACTGCACTATTTCATGATGCAAAATGTTATAGGTGACATAATATGATTACTAAAACTTTGTACATGGATGCTTTGTACAAAAAATGGGAGGATCATGCAAAAAAGTGCGTGGAGATATTACACATGCAGCTCATTACATATTCCACTCGACTGACTAAAGTTTGGGCAGCTTGCGGCCTGGTTTGCATTTTCCTTCACCTTTAAATTCAGGCATAAATTTGACCAAGATTCTAATATATTCAAATTGTTGCAATTCTATGTTCAGTGATGGGCAAAGGTAACAGAATAAAGTGCTCTAACAGTAAAATAATGAACAAAATGTAAAGAAAAGGCAACAAATGGAGCATTTAGGTCAGTTAGCCACAACCTCCCCCAGATAAACAGTTGTGTAGTTTCAAAAGCTCCAGCAGCTTCCTGCAGATGACGAGCGCTGAACTAACAGCATTAGGAGAGTAAGTCTTTCATTTTCTGGTAAATATTTATGTTGATTCTCTTCTTTCAGGTTTGATTTTAACATTTGGCGCCCGAGCACATTATTCAAAACTGTTTATTTTGTCAGTATGTGTGTTTGGGATTGTTTTGCTTGTAATATAGCTTGAAGAACAATAATTGGGTCCAGATTTCTCCTGAACGCCTCCAGCCACCACATGGATTTGTTAAATTCCATCAGCAGCATTTAACAAAATTAAATATTAATTTGATAAACTATGGACTTGATGACAACAACAAAAAATACTGGGCCTCCTTGAGGAGAGGTTTGAAAATGCTTATACACTTAACTTTTAAGTTGTAATTGTATTATTCAACTGTTGCATGTAATATAGATTACAGAAAAAAGACATAAAGCATGAGGTGTGACCTGGAGGAAATGTCAGAACAAAACCTTATATTTCCATTTTTGGTGTTTTTCAGTTTTTGACATAATTTGACAATTCCGGTTGCTCTTTACAATTACTTGGAAAAACGTCTGGTTCCATTGACTTACATCAAAAATAAAGTACGTTTTTATCT